ACCCCCTCCTCCTCCTCCTCCTACATTTCCTCTGCCCCCTTTTCCTTTCTTGCCTCTCTGGTTTCCAGAAAAGGGATAAAGGAAGAACATGATGATAGAAGGAAGGCCAAACGTGGATTAGCTTGAGGGTTTGACAGGTTAGACACATAATTAGATTACGGTTGGGTGGGATCCGAACCCCCTGAATGGCTACAATTTATACTTGCGCCCCTTCCCCTTTTTTTAAGATAATTTCCTACTATTAAATTCATTGCAGTCTGATAAAATTGTACTTATACTACAAACACAGTCACACTTCTTATGGAATTTGGACTATATATCAGAAATATGTATTATCAAGGAAGGCAAAGATTCCACCCAAACCGAAGGCAATGTTAGGACGTCCAGAAAGGAGAATAGGGAAGCAGTGAGCCCAGGTCATGATGGTGGTGCTTGAGGTGGGGCACTCCGGCCAGGGGGCAGCACTAGTCTTAGAGAGCAACTGATTACAGACGTAAGAGAGAGAGAGAGATGGGACACAACACCATCATGACCACAGGGAACTCTGGACCAGTCATGACCACAGGGTAGTTGTCAGGACAGCGAGCAAGTGAGCCTTTTGAAGGATACGGGCTCCTGCTGGCTGACCAGACTAACCTACTGATTACCAGACACCTGAGGTCATACCCTGGGCAGTCACCGAGTCCTGTGGAGCCAGGATTAAGGGCTCACTGCTGGCAAAATTTCCAGGCTGGGACGAACAAAGAAGCACATCCTCACTCAGGTTCATTTGTCTACAGCTTATTCCTAAACTGCCTCCACTACATCTTATCAATAAGGTGATCTTCACGTTCCAGTAAATAAATCAAGCGTTATCTACAAAACTATCTACCCCTGAACCTGCCTATGAACTTGAAAGAGGATGTAGGTGTGATATATAAACATGTAATTAGCTTCCTCGTGCCGGAGAACGTTAAATATGTACTCACCCACAGGTGACACTGTTTGATTTATAACAATGCGCTCTCGGGCACCAGAGGAGCTGACATTATACAAAGGATTCCACAACACACATTACCACAATACTGAAAAGGTAGCTGAAGGAATCGGGTAATAAAGAGCATCAAGAGTAGAGGCCAAGTGTTGATTCTGAGCAAGACGTAAGCAAGAAAGCAAAGAGCTAGTGAAAAATGAAAGACTTGGAGAACAAGAGTAAATATAAGTTACATATATGAATATAAACAAAACTTCAAAGCGAAAAAGAAAAAAATAGATAAATAAAGACAGGCGATAATGTTGTTAGCACGATGGGTGCAAAAGTTGCATCTATATGCTACTAAGTTTTGTCCGTTTCTTTGGTTGTCTCTTCAATCGTAAGAGAACATACGATAGCCTAGTTAGTGATGCTCTTATTGAGGAGTGACTGCAGGATGCTGAAACCAACTATCTTTCCTCGGTTTCTCAGTGTAAGGCGGTGTGCTAGCGTTAGTGTTACCGGACTGCTGTTGCGCCTCATGCACGTGATAATGAGGCCATTTTCTATACCTTATGAGTAGAAAAAGGCCTCATTTATCGCTTTGAGTCATAATTTCCCAAGTAAAGTGCATTCAAGAGTTTCGTGTACAGGAAGACTTACTAGTGAATGTGAGATTACTTGCCACTTCCAAAATATATAATTATCGTATCTCTCTCGGACCTTCCCGAGTCAGGATACGGAAACATCTAAACTAATGTACTCGAAACTTTTTGCAGTAATTGGGAGAAGACTTTCAGTCATTGGCTGGTCCGGTGATGAAGGGGTGTGGTGAGATCGGTGGGTTTGGTGATGGTCACCAGGCGTTCAGGTGGTGTTGGTGATGGTCACCAGAGGCGGGCAACACGACAAGCACTACGCCGTTGCACATATCAGTAACTGGACCATGAGCAAGCCTCACACACTACTACTGATGGCGCTAGAGGAACTGACTCGCATACATACTAACAAGACCAAGTCTCCCTTGGGCGGGTAGTCCGCCGTGAAGTTAGTGTCTCCAGGAGTCTAGATGGATATTTAGACATCTTTAAACAAGTTTCAATTGAGACTTTTTGTTTGTCTAAGTGTTGCGATTAAGCAATTGTTTTTAAAGTATTTATTTAAGTTAAATACAGAGTTTATAAAATATGAGGTATTATGTTAACAACTGTTAAGTTGTATTCCATCTTCATTCTGTTTAAATTTCCATCTATTGTACCGAGAAACGGATACCAGCAACCTCTCTAAACTAGTTTAGTGGGCACGTATGAAACCCGTACCAATAGGTGTTATACGCAATGGGTTTAAAATAAAAACAAAAACCAGGAAAAAAAATAAGATAGATCTATGTATAAAGACGTATGGCAAGCAGATCTTACTTCTTTCTTTTTTCTTCCAAATTTCATTCCACCACCCTGAAGGAATTAAGAAAAAAAGGAGAGATGACAATTATGAAACAGGTAATTAATGACTAGTATGGATGGGGCACACACAAGTCCACCAGTGTAACAAACTAACACTGCCTTCCTCTTCACAAAACTCTACGGCTCTGCATGACTCACAGTCCTAATAACCCAGTCTTGATAATCCTAGATGGACACTTAACTTGGATTTGGTTCACAACATTAGCATTGTCATTAGCCATGGCCTAGTTAACAGACTTTCATAATTTAGTGTTCAATTAAACACTTCCACTGTACAGGACTCGGGGTAATATGTTGAACGGTTATAATTATCCAAACATTGATAATTAGCTACGATTATCAAAGACTTAGTTAAATTATTATATTTATCTAAAGAGGAGTCGGGGGGTTGTAATAGGGTCCAAGAGTAATTACTAAGGTGATATTTAAGAAGCATCTAATGATCTCAGTTATTATTGTGGGTGTTCTCGTTACAGACTTAATTTCTTGATCGATGGAAATATAAACATCAAGAGAAAACAATCCTCGTGGACCCAAGCTTGGTAATTGTTGGTAAAATACCTCGTGAAACCCTTTTGTACTCCAAGAACAGGTATTTTCTCTCTCAGCTTCCCCTCACTTGAAGAGATACCGAGTTCTGCTACGGTGGAAAGATGTAAGTTATGGAAAAAAGTGTACTGTACATGACATTCACACATCTCACTCTTGTTCATGGGTGTGTGATCGTGTATGCACGTAGAATATAAACACTATTCCGTGTACTGTGTATAATATATATGGGATTTATTTCAGAGAATATCTAACTTTGTGTATGTGGCATCAACAATAATTTACTTGCGATTATCTGAAAGTCATTATTCACATACTTTAACTTTATGATCACACAATGATGTACACTTCTCAGCATATACAGTGTGTGTACGTGACGGCAGATATGTGTTGTATGTGGTAAGTCGTGTGATAGTGTATTCAGGAGTACACAGAGGGTTACAGTCTTTGGTGTGCACCCCGGAGTGGGAGGACGGGCGCTCGCTGGGCTTCAACTACGCCTAAATGGGACCATACTGTATATCACACTACCTCACGCCTACGGGGTCATGCATAAAAAAAAAACAAAAAAAATCACTGGTGGACTTCAACATACAAGGAATTGAATACGAGTGTGTGATGATATACAGAAAACTGAAGCAACTGATAGTGTAAAATATATGGAGGAACCCGTAAAGTGCAGAGCATGAGAAAGTATAGGAACCATACTTTACGTCAGCAGAGTTCTTGTAGTGAGTAGTTCACTTATTTGAAACACTAAGTAAATTTAGGTGTGTTCTAACGGAATAGACACCTTGGGAACACTTAGAGTTTGATCACACTATTAATGATTATCTTCATTACACACAAATTATTTTCAAGATTTCATAAGAAAGTGAAAATAAATGTTGTAAAGTGGTGTACATCATAGACGAGTGTGTATACATATATATGAATAATGACTGGAATAAGATGAGATATACTGTAGAGAAAATAAGATGCGACTGCTGATATCCTAGAGGGATTAGAAGCGAGTGTGAATGGAACATAGATCTAAAGAGCATGACAAGGGGACGAGTGTGAGTAAGAATCTAAAAGTGCAACAAACTACTGGAGGATTTCCATAAAGGGACAACAGACTAAGAACCTTATTCAGGAGGAAACACTTGGGCCTTGAGATGAGTTCACCTCTTACATACACTCATCACGCCCGGCTGCCACTCACGCACTCTGCTTACTCTCTCCTACAAAGAGGATGCCGTCTCCTTAATCCCATTAGAAGGAGGAATCCGCAGCCAGAGTGAGAAGGTAAACACTGAGCGTGAGGGCACAAGCCACTGCAGTAGGGGAGAGGGCCGGTGTACCGCTCCTGAACTTGGTAGCAAAACTGCACAGGCTGACACAGAACTCACACATGTATTGTATATGGGGGCTTCATATATGGACGGGAGACTAAGGGCGCAATAGGATAAAACACTCAAATACACAACAAACTTAACATTAAAAGCTAAGACATGAAAGACAACAACTTACATATTTTGGCTCGACAAACTCCATGGGAATGTAAATATTTTTTGAAGTTGGGAAAACACTAAATAATTATCGTGAAAGATGCCAAAAAGACACTAACTACAGAGTAACAGAGGACAGTTAATGGTAGTTAATAAGACACACTAAGAACTGTGTGGTTAGTAAAAGGCAGGGAGCAAATAGTCTCGCTCCCACGCACCGCCAACATTCAACACAAACGAGTGGGCTCATCGTCTTCGCCGTGGGAACACTCATTTATGAATCAATATTTAGCCATGTCCTAAGCCGAGATCTAATGCTTTGGTAACCCTATAGAACACCACAAGGGGTGTGTCCAGGTTCACGTTAACTCCTAGTTATCCTAATTGTACCTCCCTTCTTTCTTTCTTATTTTGTCTCTTCCATTTCCAATTTCTCTTTTAGAGTCTCTTGATCCACCCCAAACCATTTCCTGTTTTTCTTCTACATGAGAGGCTCCCTCCCTCCTCTCTTTATAATAAATAATACCAGAACGTCCCTCTGCTTACCTCCCCCTCCTCCTTCTTCTTTTGTAATTCATTCTTCTTAGCATGTTCCTCAGCAACACGACTTTCTATAGCAGCGAGACTTTCCCGAGTAAATGGACGAAATACACTTCGTTCCTCCTCATTCAGGGACTCAGATTCCTCGCTCATTGTCTACTGCTGAGGCCAGAACATGACCGCCGCCCTGCTCACTGTGCTTGCTACAGTCGGATCCTCTGCTTGGTGCTGAGTTTGGTACTGCAGCTGCTGTTCTTGCTGGTGTTGTGCGGTGGTCACTGCTTCTCCCTCACTCCTCCAGCAGCTCCACCACTGAGGGGGAAGAAAGAAAACTGTCAGGATTACTTTGCACTGATTAAACGGCTATCTGCTTCCTCTTACACTGTTATAAGGGTAATTCTCACACTCAATACCTCCAGTTATATTATTAATAATAGTACAACAACAACAACAACAACAATTATAATAATAATAATAATAATAATAATAATAATAATAATAATAATAATAATAATAATAATAATAATAATAATAATAATAATAATAATAATAATAATAATAATAATGGTATTAATATCAATAATAATAATAGTTAATAATAAAAGGAATAATAACACACACACACACACACACACACACACACACACACACACACACACACACGGCCAACAGCCTAAAAGAGAAAAATCTATACAACTCGTTAAGTTATGAGTACACCACTACTGAGTCATCATAACACCCACACTCACTGCTACTTAACGTGGACGCTATGAGACAACTTTTTGATGTTTTTTAACGAAGAAAAATAGTTAAATTTTCGTTATTTGGTGGCACTGCCTTGGCTCGGGAGGCACTATCTTGGCCATGTCGGCACCAACTTGGCCAGGATGGTATCATCTTGGCCAGCGGCGCATCATGGCCAGGGCGTCACCAACTTGGCCAGGACGACCCTCAGGCAGGGCCTCCACATGACCAGCACAACAGTGTATTCCTTTCTTCTTCCTCCTTAATCTTGTTCCTTTTCTCTCCTTCGTCTTCCCGCTCCTCCTCTCCCCCATTACTCCTCCCTCCCTTTCCACCTGCCTCTCTCTCAACCTCTCGATCTTCCTGCCTTCTCTGCCTGCCTCCTTGTTTGTCTCACTGTTTGCTTCCTTCCTCTGCCTATTTTCCTACTCTTTTGTTTCCCTTCTTCCCTCTCTCTTTCTCCCTCCACTCATGTCACTTTGGCTCCCTCAATGTATTTCTTTCTTCCTCTTTCTCATTCTTCCTAGTCCCCCACCCCCGCCACCCCTGGCCAGCCAGGTCTGCAGCTGAGTAGTGACGTCACGACGGTTGCTCTCCCGTCAATGCCTTCAACAATCGATTGTGCCGCTGCACTGCGCACTCCGCCAACTTACACATACGCAAACTCACTCCTTTTCTCTGAGTTAAATGAGTGACTTACTGGTAGTTTCATAAGGGAATGTATGTGTAGCTTCGTTATTAGTTTATCTACTCAAAAAATAATGTTTAACTATCTATGAATAATTTTCTATAGGACAACACACTGAAATATTAAAGGTTATATACAAGATAAACATGAACACTGATATAACCACTACTGAAATATAGTATCTTAATATCCAGAGTGAGTTCAATATATAGATATCAGAGCATAGTGTATAGAGTGTTGATGAACCCTGGCGATCAACACACAAGAACCCTGGCGATCAACACACAAGAACCCTGGCGATCAACACACAAGAACCCTGGCGATCAACACACAAGAACCCTGGCGATCAACACACAATATCTTCACTACAGTATTCGCTTCTCCCTCTAGCTACATGATATGATTTCAGGTCTGGTCACCAGAGCAGGTTCACGGCAAAACAATAGCTTCTTACAGTTAACCTTGAGACCTTGATGGTGAGATGTTCAGCCTTTGTCACGATATGCCAGCTTTAACTGTCTTACATGTTGCATACGCACACCAGGGTCCACACATTGTGCGGTCTACAAGTATACACACACACATACACCGGCTGTCACAAGTATAGAATACTTCATTATTTCAAAAACACTTGTGCTAATGTAGACAAATGCTGAACGGTGTATAATACGACTACTTATACAAAACCAGAATAGTCTAGACACAACCAGGTTGTGACGATGTATACATGTCTGTAGTGGTCCACACAACAGTCGTGACGATGTATACATGTCTGTAGTGGTCCACACAACAGTCGTGACGATGTATACATGTCTGTAGTGGTCCACACAACAGTCGTGACGATGTATACATGTCTGTAGTGGTCCACACAACAGTCGTGACGATGTATACATGTCTGTAGTGGTCCACACAACAGTCGTGACGATGTATACATGTCTGTAGTGGTCCACACAACAGTCGTGACGATGTATACATGTCTGTAGTGGTCCACACAACAGTCGTGAATGAACCTGTACAGCTTGTATTCACTTGACCCCCTTAGGCAGAGAGCCGAGTCATTTTCACTAGAACAAGACACATATATGAGTCTCACTGGTTATTTAAAACAACTATCTTCCTTAATACAAAAGTCTTTACTAAACAAGGCCAGTGGACCTCCAACAGCGACAGGACTCGAATTTACAGTTCAGTAAACCTATTGTTAAGTGTTAAACTGTTTGAAGAAGTACTTATATGTCGAGTGTTCTCAAGTGCCAAGGCAGTAACGGTAGTTGCTAGATGTGTTTGTCGTCACAAGTTAACTGGTTGTGATCCGTTTTCTATGCATTGAGGATGAATACCTTCGTTACACAATGCTGTAAAGTCGGGGACAAAAGTTCGCTCTCCGTGGTGAAACTAAGTCACGGGAATGAGTCTCCGAACTGACTTACCCTGACTGTTTCATCTCATTTGGGGGCGATGCTGCTTCATTTTGGGCGGGAGCGGACTTTTGACCCTGACTGTATGTGTGGGAAGAACGCCGTTTTCTTTTTATGGGGACGGGGGTCGGGGTGGGGATGGGGTGGTCTGTACATTCCATCTTGGTGAATTTTATCAGTGTCACGCACGAGTGATTACCGGATGTTTAATGATCCAGAGAACCACTTAATGACCCATAATATAAGTACATGACTTAGGTAAATACTGTAATGTGGCTTCACCCAAAGTCAGGAGGAACTTACTGTAATATACTATACAATGCGAGTGTTGACACCCCCCCCCCCCCAGAACAACTAGAGCGGTGTCTCAGTGTGGCGGCCTAGATCAAGAACCAATGGAGTGCTGCAGTGTTATAAATGATGGAAGAAGATGCTAGATTTGTCTCATGTTGTCTTATAATGTCAAGTGAACTCTAAGTATGAGTGATAACCGTGATAACATTCTGATATGTTCTTATTACCACCATATTATTGTACTATTCCAGATGTTACTAAATGTTACATAAAACTTCCTAAAGATTAATGTATAGTATATATCAGGTGCCTAAAAGAGAGCTCAGGTTCTTAACTGGCTCAGTCATGTTAATATTGTTATTATTATCCATTCTGTACAGTATCTGTGTTTTTCTAGCTAAATAAACTGTTTCTATATCAATATATCAATATTTTAATTACTAGATGATGGGGAAACGTTTCACTTTGTTGATAATGATAAAAAATTTAGAATCCTTAGGTTCCCTTGTTGAGTGATGGTTAAAACAAATGTATATTGGTTAAGTAATTTTATTCTTTTGAGAAATTACAACGTTTGGAGCAATTTTTCGGAGACGGGCGAATGAGAGATTGGGCTGAGCTGGTATGTGTGACTTATACACATCAAGGGGCGACATGCACAATATATAGGAGTGTCCACATCACAATGGGATTTTTTGTTCTTTAGATTATGTGGAAAGAGGATGTTGCTACATTTATATTAATAATTCTGCCAGAACACAGTAAACACGCCGCCAGGTTTAGCAAGTTCTCCTGTATTTTCTCTCAACCGTATGTATGTATGTATGTATGTATGTATGTATGTATGTATGTATGTATGTATGTATGTATGTATGTATGTATGTATGTATGTATGTATGTATGTATGTATGTATGTATGTATGTATGTATGTATGTGTATGTATGTATGTATCTCATCAGTAAATAATTCCTGTACCGCTTCATTAATAACGAAGGTGTACAATATATAACACACTGTGAAGTTAATTTATAAACCATCTTGACCTTAATGTACCATACCAATAATACTTTTGGTTAGGTTAGGTTAGGTTAGGTTAGGTTAGGTTAGCGTTACCACCCTCTTCAACAATTACCTCATTTGATAGTTTGATTCATCATGCGCTAACTAACACAGACGTAATTTCTTGGGTAACTGTATAACGTTACACTTCCCAGAGGTTGAAGTGTCCAGCCCCAAAACTTGGTAAAAATCTTGGTTTAATTTGATTGGTTCGCGGTGTGAGGGGACATCAGAGTAACTGGGAGGAGCAGCTTCAATTTCTAGATAGTAAACCACGAAGCTAAAGTTCTCCAGTAGAGAATGCAAAGAGGTGGGTCACAGTACAGGACAGGCAGGTGTTATTTTAATGCCGCCAATACATCTCTTTCACCTATAGTAGTGCTTCATAGAGGTAAGGGTAAGCGGTTTATGCATGTACAGGATAAGGGTAGAGGTTCAGGTACCTCAAGGCTAGCCATGGTTCAGGTACCTCAAGGTAAGCCATGGTTCAGGTCCCTCAAGGTAAGCCATGGTTCAGGTCCCTCAAGGTAAGCCATGGTTCAGGTCCCTCAAGGCTAGCCATGGTTCAGGTCCCTCAAGGTAAGCCATGGTTCAGGTCCCTCAAGGGTAGCCATGGTTCAGGTCCCTCAAGGTAAGCCATGGTTCAGATCCCTCAAGGCTAGCCATGGTTCAGGTCCCTCAAGGTAAGCCATGGTTCAGGTCCCTCAAGGCTAGCCATGGTTCAGGTCCCTCAAGGTAGCCTGGTTCAGGTCCCTCAAGGTTAGCCATGGTTCAGGTCCTCCAAGGTAGCCATGGTTCAGGTCCTCAAGGTAAGCCATGGTTCAGGTCCCTCAAGGTAAGCCATGGTTCAGGTCCCTCAAGGTAAGCCATGGTTCAGGTCCCTCAAGGTAAGCCATGGTTCAGGTCCCTCAAGGTTAGCCATGGTTCAGGTCCCTCAAGGGTAGTAACACGTGGTGTACTGTACCAAGGCATGGAGATAACACATGGTGTACTGTACCAAGGTATGGAGATAACACATGGTGTACTGTACCAAGGCATGGAGATAACACATGGTGTACTGTACCAAGGCATGGAGATAACACATGGTGTACTGTACCAAGGCATGGAG